ATTCATTATTCATTTAAATCATATGACGTCACACTTGAAATCGTCAGTACGCCTTTTTTATGGAATGGGAGGCAAACGAGCAGACGGATCTTTTGATGGTAAGCGATCAGCGCCGCCCATGGACACCTGGAACACCATGCCTTGAGCATGCGTGAAAAATGACATTCTTTCTCCGTTTGAAAAGAGGTTTTGCATCGCAAAGGCCTCTTGGGACTCATGGGAGTGAGACATTTAAAGGCTGATAGTGTGATGTAAAATCACGTGGCAAGTCGAATGTCGAAAGGGAGTGGACGACCTAAGAAAAGATGGATAGTGTGAAGAGTGATGTGAAAGAGAAAGGAATTTGTCCCAGGTTGTCCGATAGGGAAGAAGATAGATTGAGGGATAAGGTCAACAAGAAGGTTCAAAGATTAATAAATGACCTATAAGATCTTTTCGGTGGTTCTTCTTCGAGTAGTCAGGCACATAGAAAATGTCGACCCCATCTAGATATTCGCAAAAATTAACAATCATTTCACAAAGAGGATTTATAGAATGTTAGAACTAACAAAAAATGTTATAAAACTCATTAAACGACAGTAAAAAGTGTACAAGATATATTTAGGTAATAGGTACATTAAATATGGATGCCGCGTGTTCAAGCTGTGCTTTTAAAGTTAGACATTTAAGTAAAATAAAAGCACCTTGTTCGTTTTATAATTGTCTATTATATTTTATGTATACACGCCAGCACATGAAAACTATTGTCAATTTTTTTATCTTATAGGACACAAACAGAAGAATTTTAAGCAATCAGCGCATTCCGTGAACGACCTGCGAAACCAGAGCGTTTTTGGTTTCCGGTAATCTTAAGGTGCTCACCAGGAGCATTCGCGTGTAATGTAACAGATCCGAGCATTACATCAGTGAAGGAGGAGAACCGAGCATTACAATCCGCACCTTGTAATGATACAATATGTAATATCTTGATACAACTTGTAACATCAATGTCTGACATCTTGCTATGAAATGCTCAAAGTCGAATCTATATGTTACATTACATGCAAATGCTCGTTATTCGTCGCGGAGAACCTAACGGGTTACCGGGGCTCCGGCTCGACGTGCAGGAGAAGGAACGGGGTGGTTTTTAGTCAGTAAGAGTCTGACACTCCCTTCCGCCTCACCCAGGCGGGAGCAGTCATTCGATGATTTTCCCCCCTTAAAAAAAATGCTCGTTATTCAGGGAGGTATTATTGTAATGTAATGGTCAAAGTCGAATCTATAATGTTACATTACACTTAATGGTCCCCGGAGCACCTTAATGTTACACCACATTTACAATAGCGTGTAACATACTCTACAACATGTCAAGGTACTACAACTTTGTTATAATTTGTTTAAATACAAATATTAAGTCGATCTCTAACATTATACATATTACTGCTGTGTGGGCGCACCTTTATTCCCACGGCGCGCGGCGCAACACAACTCAAACGCTATTTTTTTTTTTATTTAATCTTATTGTAACTAATATTAATTTCGACTTATTATTACCAAAACTTAAAGTTGTTAAATCTTGACTGCACGATTAGCGCGGTGGCTGGGCAACCGGCTACTTGTAGCGGGTTTGAATCCCGCAAGAAACAACAATTTGTGTAATCCACAAACTGTTGTTCCGGGTTTGCGTGTCATGTGTATGTGAACTTGTATGTTTGTAAACGCACCCACGACACAGGAGGAAATTCTAGTGTGGAGCCACGTAGCTTTAAAAAACTAAAAAAAAAACTAAACTAGAAAATCTATTAAAGAATTAACAACTTGGTTTGATGTGCTGGCGTTTATACAGACTCAATCCTTTTAGGAACTCCGAATGTGCAAAATAATTAATAGATCGTGTTTGTCAAGCCGTTTGATTATATTCATTGAACACTCAAGCTTACTTACGTAACTGTACAAGGAGAGAGCTCGACTCCTTTAAAGTTACATTGCTGCATAATTATGAGCCCCGATCGTAGTTCGAAATTAATCGAGCTCAATCCTCGAACAGTTACGTGAGTAAGCCGAAATGTTTAGCCGTTTTGATTATGTTTTAATGTAACTTAAATCTATTATTATACATCAATTTGTAGGAGTACTGGGTAATGTGGAAATTGCCTGGCTAGTTCATGTGTATCAATATAACTGAATGAACGCAAGCCAGCCGGGTAAAGTCGACATTTTTTGCGATATTTCGCACCTTATATTTAGTTATAGACATTGAGACTTTGGAATAAATTGACTCTTTAGGTATGAGAAATAGATTTCAGAATAAATTTTTAACTTACTACTATAAAATAGAAAGAAAAGAATAACAATAGGGTAGATGACTAATTTTTATTTTAATGTCCGTCTGGTGTATTATTTAAAAACATTAGACACGTATTTTTTATTTTCTTACGGAACCGAATAGTTTCGTAGATATATTGATTTGAAATATAGAGGAACTCGACTAGTTTCAAGCCATGCTAGAGGCTCATATTCATGAGCAGTATTCAATGTGAAACAGTGACGTGAGTAAGCCGACAACATAGTAATTAATTTAGTATGCCCACGAAAGTTTTAATATAAATATCGGATCCAATTGTATTCAAAGATGGTATAATAGTTTTAATTTGTATTTTTTTTAAATTAAATTTTTGCCAAAAGGTCAATGTATTCCAAAATCATTCTTAAACAGGTCTTAATCTATTCGAAGGCAATGTTATGAAAGCATATATTATATATATATATTAAATATTGTATTTACTATATTATATACTATATAATTATAAACAGCTTCTCACTATGACTAGAGATGTCGTGAAACAACCGGCTAATTTAGTATAAAACTATATTTTGTGGTAACTATGTATTTTATATATAATTACGCCGATTCCATATAGTAGGCAATGGAGATAAAATCAAAGTCGTTGTTAATAATTTATTTTTGCTTTGTAAGCTAACTTCATTAGTATTTAAGCGAAATTTTATTTACTGTTATATATGTCCTAAAATTTTGTATGTAAAAATACTCTTTATAGGAGTGTTAGTAGGTTTTTGAAGAAGAAATTAATGAAATATATAAAATAAGAACTTTTATGGCCGTATTCACCAACGTTATTTAATTAAGGAACACCTAAGCTATATAGATGATATTTGCACAAGTAACAACACCAACGCAAGCGCCGACCGCGCACTGTTCACGAGGTAGAGACCCTCGGTGGCTCGAAACTAGTAGAGCTTTTCTCAGTATACTCATGTGAGTAACCCGCGATTTTTAGTTAATATAATTGATATTGTAATATATAAGTAACACCTAACAGGCAAGGAGTTAGTTAGGTGTTCCATCACGCTAAGTAAAATAGATATTTAGGGTTTGGTGAATACAGCCATTAAGGTTTGAAATCTATGAAGGATTTAAGTTAAAGCTTCTAGAATTATATCGTTTTAATTTACTTAAAATGTACAGTTTTAGGGCTAAGGTACAAACTATACAATTATGTTATTATGCGTCAATATCTTCATAAGATTGTAATTAATTTGTTAGTGAATAATTTTGAAGGAGTACTTAGAGAAAGGCTCAGCAAAATATATATAAAAATGTAACGATATAACTTTGTAGAAAGACGAAATAAATGATTTTAGAATTAAACTTTCTTTGAATAAAATATTGACGCATTGTGAAATATTAGTAAGTAACAGCTATTTATTGGACTAATAATGTTAACAAATCGACAGAAATAATAATAAATAATTGACAAAATGATAGGAATGAGGTAGAGTACAATACAAAGAGAAAGGTATCGGTTGATTCCATTTAAAGGTCTATGACGATGTTTTATACTGAATAATGTACATAGTAATTAATAACCGTCTGTAGCCAAGTGAAACAAAGACAAACTAATAAAATTACGTTTAAAAAACTGAGTTCAACCTCTTTTTTGAAGTCGGTTTATGAACTAATACGTGCTCCTAAGTGGAGATAAAAGCCGCGGAGAACGTAAAAGGTTACCGGGGCTCCGGCTCGAAGGGCAGGAGTAGGAACGAGGTGGTTTTTAGTCAGTAAGAGTCTGACACTCCCTCAGCCTCACCCAGGCGGGAGCAGTCATTCGATGATTTTCCCCCCTTAAAAAAAACCTCAAGGCGAGAGAAGTCATTGTATGATTTTCACACCTCAAAAAAGTGTAGGTAACAATACTTTTTTGAAATCCATTAAAAATTGGTTTAGCCAATCGCGGACAAACAGTAACAGTGTGAGATTTTTCAAGTTACCTATTATGATATTTTCTTTTTCCGTCTCCTTGACCAAATATTGGTATTACATTGTTCTCACATAATTGAACTCAACGAAAGAATGTAACCAAAAATTGTACTGTGAACATGATTGAAAAAGAGTAACCTATGGAGTTTCTTGCTCGTTCTTCTCCATAGGAATCTACACCTTGGAACGAGCAAATAGCTTCACTAGAGGACTGACCTACAGACTGACATTTTTTCTTAATTTTGTTTTGACGTTCAAAAGTGCCTTCCTGGTCTAATTGAAATAAATGATTTTGACTTTGATAAGACATTATTACATTTAGCAACTTATGATTAATGATAACATTGTAAGGAATTCTGGACACGCTAAAATTCTACTCAGACTAAGAGAGTTGAACTATTTATTATCACTACTCAAGTGTCTATGTATAATTTTAAATTATAATTTCAGATTTAGCACCTAAGATAAACATGCTCACATTAATTTCTTTTAATACGTTGATTTATTGTACCGAAAATCCTCATACTTATTCATACAAAAGTAGTCTTTAAGCATCGGAAATAAAGTCTACAATGGAGATTGGAAATACCTTATTCAGTACCAAACATCGCTTCAAACAATAATGAAGTATTACAAGGTTAAGCGGAGAGTTAAAGTTGAGCGGCATATGATGTAGTTAGTTAGTCAGTAGCTACCTGTGACGTAGTGTGCGTGGAGGGGGGGCCGGCCCCGCTCACCTGTCCTATGGGATGCGCACTGATTGGAGGACTTTACTGGCCTGGAATACAGAAATATATTTATTTACTAGCTTTTACCCGCGGCTTCGCTCGCGTCACAAAAGGATAAAAAGTAGCCTATGTGACATATACCAATACATACAGCGCCATCTATACCAATACTTTTGTTTTCTCTCGGGAATATCAAATTTTCCGGGATAAAAAGTACCCTATTATTTAATCCAGACTTCTAACTTTACGTCTGCAAAAATTCAAAGCAATCGGTTTAGTAGTTACGGCTTGAAATCGGAACAAACAAACAAACTCACTTTCCGATTTATAAAATTATAGTAAGGATTTAATAGTGAATCGACAGCTACAATACATAGATTTATCAGAAAAATAGTAGCATTCAGCCACTTACAGATTCACACTCCAATACTGAAGAAAAAACAGTAGGCACACAGCAAGAAAATTATTTAAAGAAAGAAAAAAAGGTGAATACATATAAAATAACTAAAAAAAAAAAACAAAAATCAGCTATTAAAAAAAGTAAGCTATTACATATTAGTAAAACAGTCTGGTGGCACTTGTGTAATTATTATACTTTAATAAAAATAAAGATTAGTAAAAGGATCAATTACATGGCAGTTTCGAACTTTAATTTAGGAATAACCTTTCTTTTGAACTCTAATATAACTCATAACATTGCAAATATTAGGTTATAATACGACTACTTGCGTCAGTTCGAGATTAATCAGACTACAGATTGTACTTAAATACAATTGGGTACTTGCCATAATCAAAAATAAATTATTTTGATTGTTCAATACAATAAAATGTTACAAAATAATCAAACTTTTGTTAATTGATTTTATGACCAACTTAATATTAGTATTTTTTCAACAAAATTTTACGAAATAAGTACGTTGTTTGCCGGTAAACAAACGTGACGTCACAATTCACAATCTCCTACAAAATTCATAGAAAACTGTCGTTTTTGACAGTTCGAAAAGGATTGAATTTGACTAGTTGGCAAGTACCTAATTGATTATCTGTGTCCCGCGATTTAGTTCCTGTAAAATTTGAGTGAAATTTATTGAATGAGAGTGTTCGAGAAATTTAGAATATAACTTTTTTGGTGTTTCAATTTTGCTAAGTGAAAGTCCTGTCAAAATAGGTCCAGCCATTCCAGAGATTATCTAATATAAACAGACAAATAAAAATGTTTGTAAAAGTGTTAGTTTAGTATGTGTATTCATATGTAACTATGTGTATAAATATGTAGTAAAAAGCGGTTATTATAATATTAGAAACAGTGAGTTCAATTGTATGTATGTGATTAGATAGACCAATGCAGTAGGTGTACAGTACCTCGTAGTCCGCGTCGGCGAGCGTGCCGTGCACGGCCAGTAGCTGGTACTGTCGCGCCCGCAGCGCGGCCGCCCCGCGCCGCAGCAGGCGCAGCGCCGCGCCGCCCGCCGCCTCGCCCGCCCACAGCTGCCGGACCTGGCCACACATGGGTACTTATTGCTGCTCCATGTTTTGTATGGCATAAGCCGGTAAACGAACATACGAATCACCCGATGGTAAGCAATCGTCGTCACCCATGGACACCCCGAAGACTAGAGGCGTTACAAGTGCGTTACCGTTAGAAATTTGCGGATTATTGGGGATTCAGGGATTAGGGAGATTGTGGAAGCGGGAAGGGGGTGAGGTAACCTCACTCACTCGACGAAACACAACGCAATCGTTGTTTCAAGTCTGATTTCTGTGAGGCCGTGGTATCACTCCGGTCGAGCATACGTGGCGAAACATGGCTCTTTCCTTACTTATTACTATTCTTCTAGTACTAAACTACCTTATTAGATTCCAGTCGCAAACACAAAGGATTTAAGGAATTAAGGAAGGCCCAGTACAGTATCATTAGTATGTTCTGATAATTTAATAATTAACTAAAAATCGCAGGTTACTCACGTGAGAAAAGCTCTACTAGTTTTGAGCTACAGAGGGGTTCTTTCTCATGAGCAGCGTGCGCGGTCGCGACAATGCGGCTGGCGGCGGCGCTCGCCTCGGTGTCGCTATTTGCGCCGTGAGCCCGCCGCGCCCCCTGCCGGACACCACGAGCGTTTGCCTCCAATTCCGGCGGCGGTGGTACGTTCACCAATGGCGCGGCTAGTACTTTCGATTCCAGTTCGGCACAAAGTCAGTGTTACATACAGCGCTTATTACATCAAACTAGTAGAGCTTTTCTCAGTATTTTTACGTGAGTAACCCGCGATTTTAAGTTAAATGAATAGTTACTCACTTGTGCGGGCGAGTGTGAGGGGTCGAGCACTAGTAACGTCGCCTTGCCGTCCTTGTGTTTCTCGTAACCTATTATAGTCCGCGAATGACCTGGGGATACAAAATTGATATTATTTATAGGAATAAATATATCATTGACATTATTATAGGACTGAATATCATTATTTGATAAGATGGTATCGGCTGCCAGTACTTTTTTGAACAAATAAATAAATGACTTTACTCACGCGAATATACTGAGAAAAGCTCTACTAGTTTCGAACTACAGAGGGGTTCTTCATGAGCAGAATGCGCGGTCGCGGCGACCGTTCACGTTCGAAACTAGTAGAACTTTTCTCAATATTTTCACGTGAGTAACCCGCGATTTTTAATTTAAATTTATTTGGGGATCATACAACCAATTTCTTTTAATATTATTCCATAACATAACATCACGCCTTTTATGCCCGAAGGGATAGGCAGAGGTGCACATTATGCCACTGGACAATGTAACACCCAATGTAATAGGGGGTAAGCCTATTGCCATATATCGGGCACAATTCCAGACTCCGTACTGAGAATTTAAGCCAGTAATACTTCGCCCGAATCGGGAATCGAACCCGAGACTCCTTGCTCGGCAGTCGCACTTGCGACTACTGGGCCAACGAGGCAGTCTAATTGTAATTCTAATTGAGGCAGTAATATTATTATGCAAACCAAAATAAGAAATCAGTCTTTTATGTTAGGTTTCAAATAGTTTCAGAAAATGTACTAAAAATAGTGCAATCTGAAATTCTTTCAGACCCTAACTTATCAGGAGTTTATTTTTGTTTTTTTAAGGGGGGAAAATCATCGAATGACTCCCGCCTGGGTGAGGCGGGAGGGAGTGTCAGACTCTTACTGACTAAAAACCACCCCGTTCCTTCTCCTGCACGTCGAGCCGGAGCCCCGGTTACCCGTTAGGTTCTCCGCGACAACTTATCACGAGTAACAAGGTTCCATTAATAACTCTGTTTACCCTGATGTTGCAGATAGAGCGGCGCCTTGAACCCGGCGGGGTCGTCCTGGAAGTACCGCAGCACCCAGTCGAACAGCGCGGGGTGGCTGCCGTCAGCACTCGTCGGCTTGTGGAAGTCTATTAGCTGACATCTGGGGGAATAAGATACTTATTGACCCGACTAAATTTGTATCGCCTAAAATTGTTTTTTACGAACTGTTACGAGAGTCCTTCAGGATATCTTTAAAAAAATATTTTTTTTTTATATTTAAACTAATTTAATCAATTAAAAGGACTGAGTATGCGACCGTTCTGTTTGGAAATTTAATTCAGACTGAGGGGTCTGGCATGCAACCCTACACGCTAAGATATGCCTTATCTATAATAATGATGACAATACAGTTTTATCTCATCCCAGCATAAACCCTTACATGTCAGGGATATAACAGAACATTTCAAGACCAAAATTAGCCAAATCAGTTCAGCCGTTCTCGAATTTCAGCGAGACTAACGAACGCAGATTCATTTTTATTTATATAGATTAGGTTTGTCATTTAGGTACGTTTTTAGGGAGACGTAGGACTCCCTAGATTTGTCTTATCAAGCATTCCAGGATTGGGTCTTCAGTAACTTCACTAACACGGCAAAACACAATGCTGGCGTTGTATCACGTAAAACTATTTATATAAAAGAAAGTCGTGTTAGTTACACTATTTATAACTCAAGAACGACTAAATCGATTTGGATGAAAATTGGTGGGGAGGTAGCTTAGAACCAGGAGACGGACATAGGATACTTTTTTTATAATTTTTTTTTACTTTTACCAAAAATCACGAACGGGAACGGGGGGAAAATGGGATTGTGCGTACGAAGTCGCGGGCAGAAGCTAGTAATTAATAAATATGTCGGCACAGTCGGTACGATGCAAATGTCAAGAGTGACAACTTGTCTGTCACTCTGGCGGAGCGTCGAGTCGAGGGTAGCGGGCGGCGAGCCTAGGAATATCCTGCAGAGCGGTCGCAAGCGCACCACGTTTTCGCCAAATCGCTAGCCATCGTCTTAATTAAAATTCATCTTAAAGTACAAATACATCTCAAAAAATTGAGTGTTAATTGTGATTGAAGTGATTAATATAACGTAATCTTGTATTATCTGGAGTAAAATAGTTGAAGTTGTCCAAGACAACGCCTTTTGATTCTACTACTATCCACATACCCACATGGCATGATGAATGATTCTAATGAAGGCCGTTCTGAGCTTTCAAATATATGACCAACAAATAAATAACAAGGTTAAAGGTTTACCTTATCCTGAGCGATGAGAGCACAGTGACGACTTCGCAAGCGCCGATCCATTTCCGCGTGTTATAAAGCTTGGAGCCGAGTTGTTCTGAACCCTGTATTATTCAAATAATCATTAATAGGTGTCATCATTATCACCATCAGCCTATAAGTGGCCACTGCTGACCAAGGGCCTCTTCACGCACGGAAGTTTAACCCGTCGAGCGTCCGCGTTCCTTATGATCCAACGGGTGCACACGTGACATTTGGAGAAAGTAAGAAATAAAGAAAATGCATTTATTTGGCCATTGGCACACGAAAACAAGGATCATTACAATAGAAATAAAAAATACAGTCAAAATAAAAACAAAATATTAATAATAGATTTTATAAAAGAGAAAGCTCATAAGGACGCTCGAGGGGTTAAGAAGCGTTAATCACCACGCTTGCTCAATATGGGTTGGCAATAATAGGTGTACCGATAATATATTCCTCAACAGCTGAAATAATATTTTTACAAAACGATAAACAAGGAACTAAGTGGCCGTTTGGGCTCTCTGCTGACCTACCGCTTCGGGAGGTAGGCGTGAGTTTATGTGTGTACTTATTTATGAGAAGCACAACCTCGATTAGGGTTAGTGACCAAATCTAAACCTACTTGGGAATAGGCCAAGGGAAATTAGGTTATTTCCTTTTATTTTATACTAGTCTTTACCAGCGGCTTCGCTCTTGTCACAAAAGGATAAAAAGTAGCCTATGTGACATATACTAATACACACAGCGCCATCTATGCTAATATTTTTGCTCGGAAATAACATTTTTTCCGGGATAAAAAGTACCCTATTATTTAATCTAGACTTCTAACTTTACGTCTGCAAAAATTCAAAGCAATCGGTTTAGTAGTTACGGCGTGAAAGCGGAACAAACTAACAAACAAACAAACTCACTTTCCAATTTATAATATTAGTAAGGATTCTGCGTATGGATATGTTTTTGTTAAATTTCTTGCTTGAAATGGGTAATAATATGAAAATGGATATGATCCAGTTTTAATAGACAATTACAAAAGTAAAGTAAAATTGGTAGTGTCGTGGTTTTGATTATATCCGTTTTCATTAACCTCTCCTAAATTTTAAGGAATCCTGAACTCATTTAACGTCATTTTGGTTTCCATCAATTTATATGTGACACTTTACAGTATAAGTAAGGGGTTAGTTTTCCCACGGCATGCTGAGAACCTCTTAGTTATTGGTTATTAGCGACCCGCCCCGGCTTCGCACGGGTAATATTCATGTATTATACATATAAACCTTCCTTAAGAATCACCCTATCTATTAAAAAACAGCATCAAAATCCGTTGCGTAGTTTTAAAGATGTAAGCATACATAGGGGTAGACATACGGCAGATAGCGACTTGTTTTATACTATGTAGTGATAGTGATTACATACCTAATTAATTTTACTTTTTGTTTGTATAATACTAGCTGTGCACGCTCACTGGGAGTTTTAAAGCTATTTACTAAAAAATAGTTTGTTAGTACGTTTGTTACCTCACCTGTGTATCGAACCCGAGTTGCCAGGCCCTCTCGACGAGCAGTTGCAGGCGCGGTATGGAGGGCACGGCGTGGTCCCGGTCGCGGTCCAGCGTGGCGCCCAGCAGCGCCCAGTACGGCGGGTGGCGCAGCAGGGACGACAGCACCATCTGCATGTTCCTGTACAATATTTCATTAGGCATAACTAAGATTTTAAGGTGTCCTGGTGGCCTGGAGGTTTAAGCCTGCTTCTCATGCACGAGGGTACAGGTTCTAACGGCAAGTACCAATGTGACTTTTTCCGAGTTATATGTACTTTCTAAGATTATTTAAACACCACTGACAAACGGTAAAGGAAAACATCGTGAGGAAACCTGGGCTTATAATTTCTAATTACAAGTTTGAAATCGCCAACCCGCATTGAGCAACCGTGGTGATTAATGCTCAAACCTTCTCCGTGTGAGAAGAGGCTTTGCTCAGCAGTGGACATTCTCCAGGCAAGGGAGACCCCTTGCCCGGCAGTCGCACTTACGACCACTCGGCCAACGAGGCAGTCATAGAAAAGTATCGTTTTGGATATTCGATAAAAGTGATGTTACCTGTATCCACACCCCCAGCCCCTGTCTCCGTAGGTGCTGGCGTAGTGGTCCACTGCACTGCATAAGTACGTCTTCACTATGCTCGGGTTCTGAGCATTCAGTTGAGCTATCCTCTCTAAGAGGCCTGGAAATTAATATTGTTATGAAAAACTGATCATTATGTACTGAAAAATGCTGTATCTGAATTTAACCCGTCGAGCGTAAACCGCGATATTTGGAAAAAGAAAGAAATAAAGAAAGAAAATGCATTTATTTGGCCATTGGCACACGAAAACAAGGATCATTACAATAGAAATAAAAAATACAGTCAAAATAAAAACAAAATATTAATAATAGATTTTATAAAAGAGAAAGCAGCATGGAGCATTTTTTCTTATGATTCACCGGGTGCTCATAAGGATGCTCGAGGGGTTAAAACAGTAAAGAACATATTATGCAAAAAGCTAAAGGGAATAGGTTGCTCATGGGCAGGCATGCTCTATTGTAGGACGTATCATTGCTTACCATCAGGCGAAATAGTGGCGTTTGGCCGTTACATACAAAATAGGAAGGATGCTGATACGAGCTGACTAGTATCGGTCGATACAGATTTAACTTGCACATAAACACAAGACACATTGTTTTCAAATAAGCACATAAGATCAAGAACAGAAATTGATAACTCTCCCCCCACCTTCGCCAATCCCTGACTCCCCAACAATCCTCAAATTCCTAATTCCCAAAAGGCCGGTGATTGAATGCACTTTCAATTGTATATTCATATAAATAAATAAATAAATAAACAAATTGAAACGCCTCTGGTGTTCCAGGTGTCCATGGGCGGCGCCGAATGCTTACCATCACGTGATCCATTTGCTAATTTATTGGGTTATCCCATAAAAAAAACAATAACTGCATCAAATATAATTGTACACCAGTCTATCTGTCAATGAAGTCAGATATCTGAATTCAATTCACATCAACAGCCTATAAATGCCCGTTGCTGAGCAAAGCCTCTTCTCACACGGAGAAGGTTTGAGCATTAATCACCACGCTTGCTCAATGCAGGTGGTGATTACAAATTTATAATTAGAAATTATAAGCCCAGGTTTCCTCACGATGTTTTCCTTCACCGTTTGTCAGTGGTGTCTGAATAATCTCAGAAAATACATATAACTCGGAAAAAGTCACATTGGTACTTGCCTTTGGTAGGTTTTGAACCCGCACCCTCATGCATGAGAAGCGGGCGTCTTAAACCTCCGGGCCACCACGGCATTTGAATTCAATTACTTTTCTTCTATTCAGAACTCACCAGTGGTCCTTGATGAGCCAGTATCAGTCCCCGAGGCCGCAGCCCTACGGAGGCCGAGGCTGCGCTCGTAGTACCCCGCTACAGACAGGGCTCCGCTGTACACTGCTCGCTTGAGACTATTGGTTGCTCGGTGCGTGTAGCCTTCTTCATCATCCTCTTCCATGCCGTATTGTGCCTGGGTAAATATTATTTAAAAGAATAAATCAGTTATTTATACGTAGTAGCACGGAGTCAGGAATTGTGCCCGGTATATGACAATAGGATCACCCTCTATTACATGGGACTCATAACATAAATAGTGAAAAGTGGGTGTTACATTGTAGTGGCATAATGTACACCTCTGCCTACATCTTCAGGAATAAAAGCGTGATGTTAAACATAACATCACACAATAAAACATCATAACGTATAAATTGTTATTTATGATGTTTTATTGTGTAAGTTATCATTGTGTTTTTTTGATGGGCCGTCGTTTGACTACTATCTCGCCTTGTGGTAAGCGATGATGCGGTCAAGATGGAGCACGTCGTCCCATAAGCAACATATTCACTCGGGCCTTGAAGACACCCAGGTTATCTTCAGGAAATGGCTTTAAATACTACATTACTTATTTATTATTTACTAGCTTTTGCCTGTGGCTTTGCCTGCGTATTATTGTTTTATCCCATAGGAGTATTTAATCGGGATAAAAAGTATCTTATCACCTAAGTCAGCCCATATGCTAACTGTATAGTGTGCATTACCCAGGCCAGATGTTGTCGAAAATGGTCATTTGAATCTTACAGATAATTAGTTGTGTGGCTTCTGTAATTGTTGTGCACATTTTTAAATTTGTTGCGCCTTTAGTTTTTTAATTATTTCACAAAAACATTTCCTGCTGGGGTAACGTTACTCCAGCCAGACCTTTTTCTTTCTACTGGATGTATGAAAAAATTTTGGGTATTTTCAGTATGATGTATCAACATATTCATTTAATGTAATGAACATAAATTGACTAAAGTTACCCGTAGCATCTGGAACTCATGTTCCTCTCTATTTCTCTGTGCTTCCCTCTCCGCTGCTGATAGACCAGATGTTGTTCCGCACTCTTCTCCTCTCTCAAAGTGTTCCTCAATATGCTGGATCTGGAAAATAAATAGTACATAGTCTAGTAATAGTCATAGTATATAAACAAAATACCTTGTGTAACGGACTGCAATTGCAGAATTTAAGTAAAGATTGCTTCTCACAGAGTCACAGCCTAATGTATTATATAAAATTAATTATACATATTACATTCAATTAATTTTATTATTATATAAAATTAATTATACATATTACATTCAATTAATTTTATTATTATATAAAATTAATTATACATATTACATTCAATTAATAATTATAAAATTAATTATATAGAAAAGTACATTCTTCAGCTGCCTAATGAGGCAGCTGAAGAATGGCCAACGGTCCGAGTGGTCGGGCAAAGTATTACTGGGTTTTTAAAAATTTCAGTAGTAGCACGGAGTCTGGAAATGTGCCCGGTATATGGCAATAGGCTCACCCCCTATTACATGGGACTCATAACATAAATAGTGAAAAGTGGGTGTTACATTGTACAGTGGCATTAAGTGCCGTAATGTGCACCTCTGCCTACCCCTTCGGGGATAAAAACGTGTGATGTTATATATGTACTTTCTTCTCTCATTTAGAGGAACTATCACTGGACTTATTTTTAGTACATTTCATGTTTCACAAAGTCATATTATTATAGTGTGACCTAAATAAACATTTATTTATTCTGTCGTAACTTTAAGAATAAAAAAAAAATTGAATTTATTCCACAATTAGTGATATATCTTACAAGCTCATGTTGTGACAGTGGTAGTGGCTGGCAGCAGACGGGACAGTTGCTCACCGGACTCTCCTCCATCATCACCACATCCTCGTTGCATGACGCATTGTCCACCTGGTCCTGCAGAGACAAATTAAAAACATTTAATTTACTTTACATTAACTGTTCAATCCCCAAACGGTCACTGGCCTCTAACTCCATTATAGATTAGCCATCAGACCACCACGGATGGGGCCCAATAGGGCTGATACTGATTCGGAGTCGCGGAGAACCTAACGGGTTACCGGGGCTCCGGCTCGAAGTGCAGGAAAAGCAACGGGGTAGTCTTTAGTCAGTAAGAGTTTGAGACTCCCTCCCGCCTCACCCAGGCGGGAGCAGCCATTCGATGATTTTCCCCCCTTAAAAAAACTCCATTATAGACCTCATTTCCGATGTTTAGAGACTACTTCTGTATGAACAAATTTTGGGGATTTTCGGTACAATATATTAACATATTAATAATAATTATGTTACTAATTTTACATTATTTTATCATAAATTCTATATACTATAAAATAATTTGTGGTGTTGTATTGTGAGTACATGAAATAAACTCAAGGGAATAGAGAGTTAGTTTATTCAACTGATAAAATAGTTCACACACATTAGTATTAGTCTAATGAAATTGAATTCGTGACCTATTTCACTTCACTTATCTATTATTTTATATTTGACGGGCCAGCGTTTGACCACTTATTAAAAATGTAGTCTTATTAGATTTGATACTCACAGCTTTCTGTGGACTCAATATATCTCGATGTTCTACATTGACATGGACTTCAATTTCGTTGGCGTGTGCGAATTCTCTCTCACAAATAGGACATTGGTATGACGAACTGTGAGGCCCCGGTGACATGGCCATCGCACTCAAAGCCAGGGTCGGATTGTCCAGGGTTATCGTGGGGTTTGTCAAACCCAACGTAGGATTGTTCGAGTTAGCATTAGCATTTATCGAAGGCGACGTAAGATCGAAGTGTGCACGATTTATATGTTCCTCTAATTTTCTCGGACATGTTGACGTGAAATCACATAAAAGACACTGCAAATAAATTTCATATGATTTATTCTAGCTAAGTAAGTTGTTTACAGTAGAGTTTTAATTTATTTTCAAAGATTTATAACGAAATTTTATAATCAAAACAATGTTCGCGGGTAATGATAAACACAACGTAATTTGACAGTTCGAAAATGACGTTTGGGAACTACGACTTTGAGCATTTTTAATTTCGAATGGATAATAGTACAAAGGAAATTAAGTAACGGTTCCTAAAAAGTTCAAAATCTTACCTGTACTGAAGGGCTTGGTGTTGGAGCACTTTTTTTCGGTGTATTAGGTTTTAATTTTAAAGCTAATTGAGACCTAAGAGGTGATCCTTGCCCGGCACTAGCCATTGACAACTGCAAAATTGTAAATTAAAAGGTAAGATAAGAAAGTTGATAGATTGGTGCCCGAAAAAAAAATCAGTTTTAGTGGTGCCAAATTATTACCTTATTTTTATTTGGTGACCCCTCGTAACTACCTGAACTATTATGACTTGGACTAGAAATCGCACCTGAAAAGTAAAAGTACCTATTGATAATTTTGTTTTATAAAATATACTACTCTAAAAAGTATAAAAATCATAATTAGATAAGTACCTTTTCTATCAATTCCATTGACATCACCGTCATAAGAATTTTGTCTGCTTTGAGCCTTTTTAGGAACCACACCATTACTAATATTGATATTTTTCAGTCCATTGACAAGATTAATATTTTTTGGAGACCGTGAACATTTTTCTTCCTCTTTCTCACTTTTACTGTAGCTCTCCTTTTCTTGGTACCCGTTGTAATAGTTGATGTTTTTGGAAATAGCCCCGTTGTGATACTGCGTGGAATTGTCTGGACTGTGCCACCCATTTATTGACCCTGGCGTATTATAGCTACAACTGTCCGTAGTCGTCATTTTTGAGTCTTCGTCAAAACTGGAAACAAAACCTTTATTTACTGTCTGAAAAGTACTCAATGCGAAGTACCGAGAAGTTTAAGTTGCAAATAGGAAACTTGAACATTGTAGGTATCTGTATTCTCTCAAAGTTCTATATTGCGCACAGCTAACGTTTTCGTTTTAAAGTTATACCTCTATAAAATTGCAACGTTGAACATCTTGATTCATACGTAAAACAAAGATCTATACAATTTTTTTTTATTTTGCTTTTTAATTTTAGGATGGCCTGACTTTACCGCATGTTATTCTTGTGGCTAAACCGATACAAACGATAAAATTAACCAAACTTAAAACTGGTAAATAAAAAATTAAACATTATAAAACCTTACCTCGGACTTTGGTCATCAATAAACGCCATTAGCTCCCTCTCAGGAGTTAAATAATGCAGATGGGCCTTCTGAACATGTCCCACTAACTGCGGTTGTGGCACCGCACAATCGCAGAATGGGCATTCTGGTCTTCCATTGACATGAGCTTCTAAAGTATGGGACCTCATGCCCTCATCCGTCAGGCCCTCAGCACCACAAAGCTCACACGTGTAGGGAAACGGGCTGGTCGACATTTTGCCCGACGAAGGCGACACTTTGTTTGTTTTTGAAGCCATTTCTGTAAAAAGAGAATGAGTTTACTGGGTAGGTAAGTACCGATGTAGGTATTTAAGTACAGTTTAATTTAACGGTAAGAACTAGACTATTGTAACAAGATCCGCTAGTACCTACCAAAGAGTTTTTACGTTTTTAGTTGACGTTTTAATAAAATAAAAAAACGACGTAGGTACTTATACCTATTTTAAAAATAAAAAAAGAATAGACAAGTTATGGTAACAAAAATTACTTTTTAATTAACTAAGTAGGTACGTAGCGTATGACAAAGGAAACAAAACTACAAAAAACAAATTCTTACATACAATAAACAGCATTGTGTGCGCAAAAGGCGTTAAAATTCGTTTCAAAACTCAGTTCGCAATTTTATAAGTAGTTTAATGTTCGCGTTTAACGTTAACGTCATTAATTTGGTCGCGAAACTGTCTGCTGCTGTTATGAATACTAATTTTTATGTGGTTAGTAAACTTTACTTAACTTTAATAAACGTCGCGTCAAAATTGATGATAGACCAAAAATAATTTAGCAGTAGTAGGGGAGGCCTTTAGACGTCTTTCGATTGATGATGATAATGATAATGGGTCTTGGGTACCTAGGAAAGTTAAAAAATAATTGCAGAGTGGCTTTCCAGAGAGCGACGGTTTCTGTCATAAGAATTCTGAGACAAGACAGCTGTTTTCCTTTTTAAGAGAGTGATTAATCAGGAATTAATGGCTGAAGGTAACCTGGTAATAAAGGGATTTATATACCACCTACATGTACCAAATAACTTATCTAGAATTTGTTCCGCAAAATCTGATTAAGTTGTCGATGAACTAACACCTTTATAATCACAGATCCTGAACGTACTTTTAAAATTGGATAAAAGGTCCCAAATCCGGCCAATGCGTACATGTAAGCATATAAACGTTACGGTAAACTGGTTGCGGAAAACATAACTTTTCGTTTAGGAAGTGACCTATATCCAGCCAGTGATAAGTTCAGCTTAAATCAGGGCTTATTTAACGACTCCCGTCCCATGGAAATTTTATTTGAAGAAGTTTGTAATTCTTGGCACGCTGTGCTTTTCGATAAGTAGATTGATAATAATATTATTCATTAAATTAAAGCAGTAACTATTTGTCTACGATGTATAGGAACTTCTTTATCCCAACGGAACTGTGATTCAAAATCATTCCCAAAAGTCACAATATTTTGATATTATTCCGATGTCGTACGGTTTTCCAAGACGCAGACATGCTTTTCCAATAAGAACACATCTATTATCCACTTATGCCGCTTCAATAACATTCTTGATCCAATCTTATTGACCTAAATAAATAATCTATGTAACTTTAGCGAACAAAAATAGAATAATATTGATTATGTAGATGTCTACAGTGTACTTAGAACAGACCTTGATTCTAACCTTATGTGTCTATAGTCCTAATGATCGAAAAATTGATTTATTTTAATGATGAACTCGCATAGAAACCGACCACAATAACTATATTGGGGCGAAAGTGTCAAATCGATAAAATTACCGCAGTTTTGTTTTCAAGGAAATCGCGGAAACACCAATGGCAAACGAATAAATTAACGAAAGATATTAAACCTCCTTTATCAGACTTTGTACGTGTTGGCAGAATAAATGTAAGACCATTGCGTAACATGCTTTATTCCGTAATAAAAACATCAAAATAGAGAGAATGTACTCACCGATTTATTTAGTATTTTATTGTCATAGAATAATCCAATTCCACTGTTTTTTGTCCGGAACACTATCTAATTGGTACGATTTCGTTAATATATGCGATTATAACTAGCATTTTCTAACATTAAAATTACAAATTATATTAATACTACTGGCGATAGGTTGTGATTGCCGTCATTCATGAATTTTTTGGACATTGAAAAACAAGGATCGCTGTTACGCATGCGTGTGTTGCTGACACACTAACGCACCAAGCGGTAATGCTTTGAACTTATTTTTTATTGTTTTTACTTCACAAATTAAGAATTTTAAAATAGCAAATTGTATAGAATTTGTTGGTCATTTAATTTCAATTTAGATGTTGCAAATTAATCATGAGGGCGGATGTTGCGCCCTCTATGCAGTAGCCTAAAAGTTTTTGTGAAGCAAAGCCTTTTAGGGTAAAGGATGGAAAATATCTTTCGTTTCAAAGTTGCTGTGTTGAAAGACGCTAGATGGAGTAGTTTTACTTAGTTTCTCTCGTTTTTTTTCATTTCATTAATGCTTCGAATGTAGGTAAGTAGGTTGAAGTTGTTCGTAAGTTCGTGAAGGGTAGTTAAGAAAATGAATTTTGTCCTGTTTTAATTCTCTTGACTGAATACTCATGAACTATTCGATACTATGTATTTCCTATAATCTATCTGCTAGATAGCATATGGATATTTTTAAATTTTATACGTTATTTCTAGTCCCACGTTGGGCGTCAATACAAAGTATAATTTTAATTTACTGCCATTTCTGTTGAGTTTTTGGTAGATATAGGTACAACTTCTGATAAAGTTGGTAAATGACGTGTGTATTTAGGATCAGAAGAATGTCTTAACTATTTTCTTGATCGTTACTCATTCTCATAGCATAGAAACAAAGAAAACATTTCGGCACTCATTCAGCTGACTGCACGGTTGGCGCGGTGGCTGGGTAACTGGCTGCTGTGCAACGTGTCGCGGGTTCTTCTCTTTGTGAGAGAAACAACTCTTTGTGTGATCTAAAAATAGTTGTTCCGGGTCTGGGTGTCATGTGTATGTGAACTTGTATGTTTGTAAACGCACCCACGATACAGGAGAAAATCCTAGCGTGGGGCAACGTTTTATTAAAAAAAAAGAGTTTTTATGAGCACTATGAAAATAAACATAATATATAATAATAAAGGAATACGTGAAGTCATGAAGTTTATGCACAAACATTGTTGATAAAGAACAATAATAATAATTATTCCAAAGTGTTATGAGCTATAATAATACAGAATTTCTAGTAAAAACACAAAACCTAGGTACCCAGTTTGCGTGTAATGGCACTGTAGTATCATTTACCCAGCTCGACACGATTACATATTAAATTCATTTACAAAAAGAGAAAATAATGTAAAAAGAAAAACTCGACGGAATGGCGGGAAAACGAGCCGCCATTGCATACATATTGGACGTTTATGCTAAACACCACTTGTCACTCAAATAAAATAAAATATTGTTGCATTTTTGTCTTTGGAAGGTGGAAGGTATTCTCGTCTGTCGCACCGACGCTTTAAATGCAGATAGCCTTGTAATGCATAGTAGGATTTATATTTTGTTCCGTAAACTTGTAGCGGAATTTTTAGGTTTGGTTTCCGAGATAATTTAAATTTGGAATAATTTTATTGTCTTATTAACATAACAGTGGTTGTATAACAAATAGGTAAAGAGGTTAAGGAGCGGAAAAGGAGGTCGGTTATAATGTGTAGGTCAAATTTGTTGTGGTTGTTTACGAGAAAAGCTAAAATGGATCTAAAACAAGACAACATTAATTTGAATACTGGGAAAGCAAACTACATGTAATCTATATCTATACTAATATTATAAAGAGGAAAGATTTGTACCTATTATTGTATGTTTGTAATGAATAGGCTCAAAAAGTACTGGGCCGATTTAAAAAACTCTTTCACCAATAGAATGCTACATTCTTCCAATTTGACATAGGCTACATTTCATTCTGAAAAAAATTAGGGATCCTTGGTAAAATTTTAACAATGTAACCAAAGGTGTAGAAAGAAAATAGTCTTAAAATGTCTTTTGTCGAATGTGCTGCCGAACGAAACTATTAGCGATAGAACAAAATAATGTACAACAATATTGAAGAACATCATAATGTCTACAAAAAACTCTGCGGTAGCATATGTCCAACTATTGTAGTTATGACACTACAACAATCCAAATTTCCAAAAATAAATAATTGTCTACCCCGTGCGAAGCCGGGACGGGCTGCTAGTAAAATATATACAAATAAGCTTAGTTTGACAAGATATACTAAAAATAACTGTAATAGTTTTAATCTAGACTTCAAGGCCAAGTCTAGAGAACTAGTTTATTTTACCGAGCTTGTAATATTAGAATAATTAAGAAAATGAAACTGTTGCTTTGACCGAAGTAATTTAATTTAGTTTACCTATCTAGTAAATAGGAGGAATCCTCCTACTAAAAGGATTTTGATTTTGAAATTGGAATTAGGTTTATTTTTTTACAGAATAAGAGGCAAACGGCAGCCGGATTGCCTGATGTTAAACGATCAATGCCGCCCATGAACAAGAAAAATCTGAGAAGCTTGTTATTCGACGGTTTGAATTTCGAAACATTAGTATTCATTTTTTAAACTCCGTTAGTGAATAGGGGTGTAGAAGAGCTGTATCTAAACTCACACACTAAACAAGGTGTTGTTTTAAATCCGCGTCATTTTCTAGAAGGTAACTCGGCTATCGATTCTGAATCCGAATCAATAAAAAATATTGTAGGTAAATATTTTTCATTTTTCTGTAAATTACGGAAATCCGTAAGTGCGAACTACACGCCGCCGTCTTGTAACTAGCTTTATAACGCGGCTTAACACACACAAACTCAAACACGTAATTGATTTATTCCTAATTCCATAAAACTCCAATAAGAAGCATTGCTGTCGCTTTTTCTGAAATACTGTCCAACTTAAACGATTTATTATAGCCGTATTTTTAACTATTGGCCCGAAATTTTCTCTTGTATTGAACCTTTATGACTTCTGTGACATGCCCCCGAGAAACGACACGGCTTCAAAACTACATCTCATCATGCATGATGAGATATATAACTTTTAAAATTAATTACTTGGTCGTGCCTATGTTATGATAAAAGAAAAGGTCGAAAAGAGATGTACTACTTGTATTAACCACTGGGCCCAAGTTCCAACCCTTTACATGCCGAATTATTTGCAAATCTCCGGTCGTTGCCCTTAAGCGCGGGTTCGAACATTTTACTTAATTTGAATTGA